TAAGGCTGAATAATTTTCATAAATATAGAAAATGTTATTTAGCTTAAATGATTCTCTATATCATAAAAAATATGTAGATTAATCGATTGCATTATACTTTTGACTCTTGAAAATATGAAAAAAAATACCAATTTTAATTGTAAAAAAAATAATTATTGAAATTTTATTTGAAATATTATAAGAATGAATTTAAATTTCCAGAGTTTTAAGAAGTACGTTTTAATTCTTGGTAGATCTTGAAAATGTACAATTTTTTACATTACTATTATATTTAGTTTATTATCAAATACATGTGGAATGTTTTATTTTTAAAAATTTATTTTAAAAATTTATGTATTATAATTAGCTGGACATTATTTAACGACTGAAGTAATGTCATACCGTATTGTTAATTGTTAATTTATTGATATGGAAATTTTAACTAATTTTATTCGTTATTATAAAATTTAGAGTATTATATATTATTAATGTATGACATATAAATGTGTATTTAAAAAATGAGAAAATAAATAAAATTTAATAATTTTTTACAATATAATTTTGTCATTAAAATCTCAAATAAAAAGCAACCCCTAAAACCTATTTTTTTCCTTAGTTTTGTGTATTGGATTTAATAATTCATGTGTCATTTTCTGCAACTAAATTTGCAACTATTTTACATTAATACGTTTTAAATGTTGAATGTTCTAACCAACATTTCTAAAAGCATGCCATGAAAGTTCCAATGAATGTTTTTCCAAAAGGATCTGAAAGATATATTAAAAAAGTCGCTAAGAACCGTTGAGGAAAGTATCTGGTAAAGCCTCAGAAAATGTTTTTGAATATTTTATATGAATTCTTGCCTTCTTTTTTCTCATAAATTTTATTTTGTTAAATAGGAAAATGAGCATCATAAATTTTATTACAAAACTTGAATTAATTTTTCTGTAGCAAATATGTAAAAAAATGTCTACTTATTTAATTTTCGCACCTTTTAACAGCATATGCTTCAGTTTTTATTATAATCGTCAGATGTTCACGAATAAAAGATTAAAAATTAGCGCTTTTAACAATTCCTCTTTTGCATTTCATACATTGGCAAAAATGTGAGTTTGAAGGTTTTTACATTAGTATAATTTAAACTGAGTCACTTAGTTTCGTTCAAACGCCTATAATAGAATTACAGTTTTTTCTCCAGCTTTTCGAGTGTTAATAAAAATTAATGAAATTAAAACGTTATGGTCACCGCTTTAACTTTTACGCAGCAAATGCAATACTGGTGATTATTTTTTTTAATTATGAAAACAGAAAGACGTTTGATAAAAGGAAAATAGTTTAACTCTAGTAGAATGTAAAGACAAGTAATTTGACGACTTTTAGTTCAGATGCTTCGAAGTAAAAGTTGCATTAACTATTCAAGAGCTCTGCATAATGTTGAATGAAGTTTACACATTGTTGCAAACTTTCTCGCCAAACACAATCATCTTGTTTATGTTCGGTGGTTGGTAAAAGTATTTGAACAATTGTTGTCTCAATGTTAATATGTGGACATGGATATGGTTGCGTGTATATCTCAGGTAGACAACAGTTAACAACTAATGTAATAATGAAGAAGATGTCAGAAAAACTTTAGATTGTACTAACTCGTGAGAATTATATTGCAGCAAACTTTAATTTTGGTGCTTAAAGGGCTATATAAAACTTATAAATACTTTTTTGAACACTTAATTATTAGCAAAAATTGGTTTGCTGCCTTCTTTACATTTTTTGTCTGTGGTAAGCTGTATTGTTTTGATTTAAAAATCTTTGAGATTCTTGTCGTAAGCTAAAGTTAAGCTTTTCACTTTTAGTCTAGGTTGTAAAAAATACTCGCATTTCATATTTGCCAGTCTTTTGTAATAGCCAGCAATAAAAATCAAGTTCGCGCTAAGATCTTTTCATATTCCTATATTTTTCTTTTCTCTATATATAGTAAAAGAAAATAGGTCGTATGTCGGAAAGTTTACTCGTGTGACATTTCGCACGTTTCGCACAATAACCTGTTTACGCCGGCTTGTACCACACAGTCTCACATCCCTGGAAACGTGTGCTCGTGACGTGAATAGTAATTATTCTCGGAGCTCGTATGTATGAATGAGGAAAAGAGAGGGAGAGTCAGAAAGGGCGGTAGAGAGGACAAAGAGAGGCAGAAGAGAGAGAGAGAGAGCCATAAAGAGAATTGAAGAAAGAAGGATAAGGGAGAGAAAGCGAGCGTGCGAGCATGTGTATGTTATATAGTCGTCGCAGTTGTGCATAAGAGTTCTCTGTAGGTTGTAAGATGACAATGTCTAACGAAAAGATTTCGTCTGAAGGGTGAGCTACGGTTCTCTGCACGAGCCAACAGTTGTTTTCATTTCATCTCCACCGTAGTTCTAAAGTATTTATTAAAAAGACTTTTTCGCACTAACTATCTCGTCTTTATCCTAAGCTAAATTTTCTCTTTTTTTCGTTACAAAATGACCAACTTCCTCGAGTGCACGTATAGTCGATTGTCTTTTGAAACTTATTTGAGAAAAAAAGTTATAAGAATTTCTCAAATCTGTCTATGGCACAGTAGAATGAACATGCACGCAAATAGTTCTGGAGGCGAGCCTTCTGCAAAGGGAATAGCGTATAATGGCAAAGTGCGGTGCATTAAGAGTTACACAATGCCTGGCACAAAGAGGAAAATAAGTTGAATGCATCGATGCGTGATTTGTCATCTATTTTGCTGGAAAATTCGACAGTTGCTCCGCGACATGTATACACGTTTCATTACCATAGTACTCGTGTCTACGGGTGCACGTATACACCATTTTCCGTTCGAATAAGGTACACGCGCGCTCGTCGAAAGGTTTTATATATCTATCGTTATACATTCGTTATCGTTCGCAGCTCGGCAGAGAGAACGAGAGAGAGCTTACGAGAACGAAAAATGAATACTGATGAATCGTCTGAATGCGTCCCAGCTATAACACATCGCGGCAACAATGAATGAATAGCAAATATTAACAAGTTTTGCGAATGATATTCATAACGAGTGCCAGTTTTTGTAAAAATTACGCTTTGTTGACAAGCCGTAAATATATTTCATTTTGCGTAACCGTTACTTTTTACAATTTGGCATTGTGTTGGTTTTTTGCCAATATCAACCAGTGAAATTTTATTTTTCACAATTTTTATACTTCGTGACTTCATTGATAATGGATAAAATCACATTTTTCTGGATTTCGCTAGCAATAATTTTTATTATTTAGTGTTTTTGCAAGTTCATTAATTTCTTTGAGTTTAAAATATAAACAATTCAGGTCATGATGGATTGAATTTCTAATACGTCATTCGACCGATTTATAATAATTACCAAATACAATTCTAACAGAAACAAACCCCTAGATTAATATGTAAAAAAATCCATTATTACAAAATTGAGAAATATGACATTGGGTAGATAACGAACCAATTAGATTTAAAAGTCTCGTGAAACAGTTGTCGAGCTATGTTCACCAGCGAGTCATATATTTCTATTTTGAATTCTAAAAATTGTAACTATATTCGCGCAGCTCGAGCTGAGAGAGTCGTGAAAATTGAAATTGAAATTTTCATCAACCGCAAAACACACACAAACCGTCAGCATTAAAAGCTCGGGTAGGTTCATTGCTCGTTCGTTCGGAAGTAAATCAAGCTTGCATCTGGCACGCGATCTAACGTGGCGCGTGATATCTACTCCGACAAGATATAAATTGAGTTGCTCTTACCTAGTAATTGATTCTCATTAACGATGTGACTTGAAGTTAAGCAACTATGAGATTATGCTTAAAAGGCTCCCCCCGTCCAATGAACTTATTATTTTCTTTACTACGTGCTAAATTTTTTAAATTAAAATATCTGAGAGTTATCCGAATTATTTAATTTCGTGAAGCTTTATTAATAGTCGATAAGGGTTAATCTGAAAAGGTTGCAATATACGTATATTAATAAAGTGCGAATTTCCTTGCTCTAGCAATCAACAAACATTGCGGTTTTAATTTTTTTGTAGTAAGTCATATAAGGATAATAGTTATCAAGGGCTCGGAATAATTTAAGCGTAGGATATTGTACAATGCATTCACAGACAGGCACAAGATTTATGGAGAGGGTGCGAGAAACGAACACGAGTATAGCACAAATGAACGTATCGGTTGTGTTTGTTCCGGAGTTAAACGTCACGAATAATAAACCAAGTCTTAGTCACAGTGAATATTCATCTTGCCACAACACAAACACTGCAATACACCACCCGCGTTTATTTGCAATTCAACTTTCAAAATGTTCTAGGATCAAGTTGTCGATACATCGAATGTAAATGATTTTTCCGACAATTCAATGACTTTTTTTTAATAACTGATTTTTAATTAAAAAATACTTTGTTATTTTAAAAACCTTCTGTGAGGAGTATTTTTTTTAAATTTCAAAAAAAAATCTAGGCAAGTTTTATCAAAAAGAATTGTTAATGGAGAGAACACTTATTTTAATACTTTTAGTTGACTACCGAAAAATGTTTTGTCTTATAAAACTACTGCATAAGAAAATGTTGGCTGAGTTGTGATAATTAAAATTTTAACCTGCCTAGCGTGAAATGAAATGATGTTATGTTAGACTGGTTACCACTCTAATAATTTTCATCATCTGTCTATGTTTTTACTCTTATTTTTATGCTTCTTGATCATTTATAAGTTTCTTTCATTTCACTGTGTTTTTCTCTTCGTTATTTTTTAGTATTGACTATAGAATAATAATCCTTTGCATAAAAGCATTCAATAGCAAAGAAAAACATTTTTTCAAAAGAAAAAATGCATGGCTGTGAACTGATAAATAGGATAAAATTTCTAATAATTAAAAATATTTAGCGTGAAGATAAAGAGTATATGAATTTTTAAATATATGACGAAAAAAATTGATAGAATAACTGTTTCAAAAAGATATAATGAAAATCGACACGTATTTAAAGTAACGATTTTTTTCAGCTCGTTGGAGGTGAATTTGATATGGAGCTGAATTTCGTCATCCAGGACGCTCAAAATATCAGACATATGCTGGAGCTTCTAGACCATTGTCCATCCAATTTACAGGTAAAGAATATTTTAAGAAATTTTTTAATACTTGGATAAAGATGTAAATAAAGAATCACGTTGAAGTAAAATTTTACTTCTCCAGGTACGGACTTAAAGAGTTGTGACGTTGGTTATAGTTTTTTTGCTTGCTATAAAGTGGCTTCGTCACTGTAAACTCAAATTGTCCACTCAACCTTCTATATATTTTCACGCACAGTTACGAACGATCATTAGAAATCATTTGAAAAATATATACAGCTATATTTATTGTAAACGAAAAATGTAATTAAAAGTTCATAATTTAAACTTTCCTTTGCGTCTTACTTGAAATTTAATTTCGCACTGCGTAACATAGATAATTAAATCAGCGGCGGTATTACAAAATGGAAACTTTGAAATAAACTTCGATGAAAATATATTATGCATGAGAAATGAAATGAAAAATATACGCGAAATATATTCTGTATTTCGTATTTGAAAAGTTTTCGGCATTATGGATAGATGCAGTTTAAATCAGTATTAGATTAAGTCCATCCTCTCTCTGCTCTCAAATCCGAATGGTTGAACGCGTTGTGCAGGTGTGAAATCTCGGGGGAATTCGAATCGAACGAAATTGGAATAGCATCGATGTTGTTTGTAAAAAAGCGATTGCAATATAAGAAATTCACGTCATAAAAGCGTTTCTGCAGAATGTAGTTCAAAATATATTTTACTTTTAAAATGTTTGTGAAATACGAGGAATGCTGAAGATTCATCTTGGTGCACGCCTTTCATCTATTTTACTACGTAAATTAATCTCATTAGTATCGTATATCATTATACAAGTGTTTGTTGACTAACATAGAAGATAAAAGAAAATATACTTTCCTTTAAAAGTTTTATCGATGGGATTTTATGATGGCAAAATATTTCACATTCACGCGTCAGTGCACAAAACTTTTTTTAGAATCAAGTCGCTATTGCTCGTTCTATAACAAAAAAATTTCATCTTTTTGCGCGAGCATTCATCAATATATAGTTTAAAAAAAGTTTTAGTTCATCCTCTTAATTTATTAGTATGACCCGATATAAAAAAATACCGATGAATGGAATAATTGACTGTATCATATACTCGAATTTTTTACACTCGAGTGCTTGAGCGTTTCAAAAGAATCTTAACTATGTGTACCACGCGCGACAACTCGGGGGAGCTGTTTTTAAAACTTCAAAGTCAACTCTCTTCCCAAAATCTCGAGAGAAAAATCTCTCGAAGCGTTTACACTGAGTTTACTTAAGAATTCGGGCCAAGACCGTTCGCAGGAGGTAGGAAAAAAGTTCCGCAGACTCCTTGCGCGCGAATTTCTAATCAAATCAAATTAATATGGCCATATACTATTTTCCCTCTGCCAACAAATCAGCCTCAAGCAGCTTCTCGCAGTCGAACTTGCATAATTTTGAATTTATGAGCATGCGGCCCACGTTTGCAAAGACACTCGTTGCGCGTGTGCAGCTCGCAATGACCTAGTCGATTATTTCGTATGAAAGCTGCTTTCAATTTACCGATGTGCTTGATTCATTTTCTATATCAGCACTGCAAACTTGCAACTGACTTTTGATAATATAATGTCCACTTACAGTATGTTTGACACATAACTGTTGACTCAAACTTTTCCAATTATTCCTAAAACTTCTAACTAGTTTGTAGAATTAGATTCGATAATTATTTCCAACGTTCTTCCTTTTTTTTTAAAACAAGTTTCGTGATTTATTACTGTAAGAATGTTTGCTTCTGCTCTCTTCTTTGAATTCGTTGACACGTTTTAAAAAGACAAATGCAAGAAGACGATTTAGTTTTCGCTCTACTTTAACGCGAGTTTTAGTAAAAAAAAAATCAGAACACTGCGTAAATTTTTTATATTATATCTTCAAATTGTGAATTTGAACAAAATTTGTTGATGTTGATCTTGAGAAAAAGTCACTCGCCGTTGGTTATCAAATTATCTTGCATTTTTCTATAACTCAACTTCATAGTCACTCGATAGTATCGTCAAGAACACCTTTTTATTCTCGAATATATAAACTGCATCGAACTAAATTTAAGGAGCAACGTTATGAGCGCGCGGACATTGAAAATAAGTAAATTAATGTTGTTTCAAAGTACGTTTGCCGAGATTGCAATCGTACACTACTATAATTCTAAACAGAGCAGCAGCGGGGTCGAGCGAGCGCGAAACAAATAAGAGAACTGGGCAGCGCGCAACGGTTAAGCCACAAACGGGGATGAGTTTTATACATGATAGATTTGCAAACAAACGCGAGTTTATTCGACATTGTTTTAAAGCATATACTCGCCTCGCACACGCGTCGGAGTCTACAATACGTGTGTACGAGTGCAAACGTATTTATGTAGATGTATATAAGGATCAGGATATGCGCTCGATTCCGATAAAACTAGGGAGGGTCGCCTTTGTGTGTCTGTGTGTGTATGCGCTGCGTTGCTCCTAGACAACTTCTGGTTGGTGCTGAGCATCGTCGACGTATAGTATCCAGTGTACGTCGCGGAGCATATTACTTCCCACGAGGAATTGCATATTGGCGCGTGGTCAATTTGTTGTGCTTTGCTGCCTTTGTCTTGGCACTCGTTCAAAACAAACTTTCACCCGTCAGCCATCGCGCATGGTCTTGTGCAGTAACTAATGAAGTCTCATTTTTGGACTTTATTGCGTTGCCATGAATTTCCAAAATTCCCCGCTAAATATTAAGCGCGCTCGGAATGAGGGAGAAATTCAATTACCGATATTTTCGAGCGGAATAGATTATTAACAACATATCAGCAATTTTTCTTTTTTAATTCAGTTTCTATACGTGACTGTCGGAAGCGCCTCTGGCTTAGATGTAATTTAGTACTATCTCGTACTGCTGTGCGTGAGGCTGCATCTATGTGCGCGTGAGTCTGTGTATACTAGTTCGATTGCCCCCGGGGCGTTGAATTAAAGCGACAATATTGATTCGTGTACAAGGATTAAGGATTTGGATGAACACAAAAGATAAATACGGACGTGGTTTTGACTCACAATTGTGAATGAATTTCACCGAGAGGGGTCATGTTTTGCGCGTTCAACGCTAAAATCTCGCAATTGCAAACTTCAACTGGAGGTTTCTCTTGGTTGTTTTTCGTGCACTGACATAATTTCGGATATTAAGGTCACCAGCTATTAAATACTTAGTGAACATTTTATTTTTGTATTCAATCCTGTGCTCGTGTACGGCTATAGCAAAAACAGCGCAAGGGGGACGATCGCTGCAATTGCAACGCTTCCTGCTATTGTATAAAATAAGGTTGAAAACTTGAAATACTGGTGAATTCGTCATATTTATGGCGGAACCTCGTTTCAAATAATAAATTACGTTCTTATGTGGAAATTATTGCCGAGAATATACTCGTTATAATGAACGTTATTTCTTTTTTCGAAATTGACAATTATGAAAATTTTGAAGGTAAGACCATAGGGACGAAATTTTTCATAAAATGTGCTGATATGATAAAAAATATGTAGAAAGTATTAAAATGCCGAGGAACGACGAAAATGTACTGGGAATTTTCATATTAACTTTTATAAGCTAAGGGTTTTTCGGTTAAAAATGAATTTTTATTTCGACCAAAATTCGTGTATAAGGTTATCAGATCCCTAGTTTTATAGACCCTAAGTCTCACATGGTCGATATATCGACCATCCCCGGTATCCAAAGGTCAAGTATAATTGTATCCAGGAATTACAAGAATGTAAATTTTTATTGCACCACAAGTATTTCTCCGAAAGGGCGGCGGAAATAATGAGAGGAGCGCGCGCGTGCGTAGTCAAATTACAATTGATCGTTGGTGGTGTAGCGGTCGCGCGCAGATGATGATTAAAAAATAAAGCCAGTTAGTCAAATAGTAGAATTCTTTAATTAAAAGCATTGTCAACTCGAGTTTTGTTGTCGCTTCGGTGTATACAAGTGGATTGTTGAGTCGTTAGGTAGAAATTAGAATCGGGGTGTATACAGTCGACGACGAGGAGACCGCAATTTTGCGCAGTATCGTTGCCTTCTCGTTGTATACTCACAAGGCGTGTGCAGTACCTACAGCACACCAGGCTGTATATAACGTGTGCCGTGAAAGGAAAATAGAATAGCATCGGAAAAATAAATCCACAAGATCATCTCGATGTATGTGTACTTCAATGTGCTCGAAATTAATTATATCATCGGATTTGGCGCTCGTACTGAAATTTATAATACTAATAATAATAATAATAATAATACATATATGAGAAATGTAAGTAAAGGCAAAAAAGGACAGATAAGTGCGCACACGTGGAATTTTGAATAATAAAAGAGAAAAGTTGGGTGTACATTACAGCGGTGTGTGGTCATTAAATTCGCTTCCCTCCTGTAATTTTTCTTCTTTATATCCTCTCGCTGCCGGGGACGCAGGGACACATATAAAACTAATAATAAACAGGCACATTAGTACGAATTTCCAAAGAGAAAGGCTCGCGCTGCTCATTAAATAAATTCTCAGAAGCGATGAAAATGATATATGTTCTGCAGGTATAATATATAAACATACGCTGGTAGTTCGCGGTCGTGTAAACGAAGCAAAAAAAAAAAGATAGAAAAAGGGGTAGAAAAACGCGAAGACTTGTGCGCGCGCTACCAAGACTAACGCGACAATTTATACATTTTAATAGGCAACCTGCTCGCTGGCTTGAATATTTGAAAGAGCATTTGAATGCGCGCGAGGTGCGATGAATAAAATGAAAAAGGGCCATCACTGAAATGACGTATAAACAGAGATGTAGAAAAGCGTAGAGAGATAGAGAAAGAGAAAGACTGTATACATTAGTATAGAGCAATGGCGCGACGATGACGAAAAATACGTATATACACATCAATATGAGAAACAAAACGGGAGCGAGCGCAGCCGAGAGAGATGGAGTGAGAGAGAGAGAGAGAACTGCAGGGAATCGTGCCCGAGACGTAATGTATTCAACGGCACGTCGTTCATTCGTATATACGTATAACAGCAGTAGTATAGGTATGTATACCAGAAGCTCTGGTTGCTGCTGCTGCTGATCTGACTGCTTTAGCTCGCAAATGCCTGAGCCTTGTTATGTTGCACATATAGCCGGAGCTTATAGGTATATAGAGGCGGCAGCAGCCGAGTCTGCGACTCGGAATGTGCTACACGGCCTCCTTCGCGTGGCAGCGCAGCAGCTCCCTCCTCTTTTCTTTTCAGCTAGAGCTGCTTTCGACGAGCGAGCGAGTGAACTCGGGTTTTTTTTTCTTTTTTTGCACCAACCCCGAAAAGTAGCCTTTGTGTAGGGTTTTTGTGAGCGACAGGGGTATACTATATAGTGCGCACACAAAATATATAGAGGAGAAAACATGGGCGATGCAAATCAGCGCCTGTAGCAGCTACCGTATTTCGATCGATCGACCGACTGGCTCGATCTTGGCGCGCCAGTCGCGCGCGTTCTGTATCGCTCGCGCAAAGCCATTCAACCGTATTACGTATCCAAAGGCGTTTCTGTTATCCCTCAGGCGTCACTTATACCTACATATGCTCGGCTACACGTACACACACACACGTATAGACGAGTGCTGAACGCACACAGATATTTGCTCGGTGAAATACAGCTCTTGGCTTTATGCTCGATCGCTCGGTATGTACCGAGCTCTTTCCCTCGTACCCACCCCCCGCCGTTTGCCCTCGCGCGCGCCGAAGCTCACCTACCATGAACGAGTTTTCTTGTATAATAACCGTGTCATATTGACGCTCGTTTTACCACCTTCAAACCGAATTAAGCTTTTTTCAATGACTCTCACTTTCCGGCGAATTTTCCAAGGAAATTTTCAATGAATTTTTAATTGAATTCGTCAATTATTCAAGCGCGAGAACGTTGAAAAACTTTAATCCAATAAAACTGCGTGAATAAAAATATACGTCACTATACGTTTGTAAAATTTTGATGCAAAGACCCACGAATGAATTTTTTAACTTTTTACAGGCTGAAATTTGGAGCGTTTTCATCGCCATATTAAGGAAGAGCGTCAGAAATCTACAAGCATGTACAGATGTGAACCTAATAGAACATGTACTCCATCGAATGTCACGAGCAGAAACCATTGTAGCAGGTTCGTAAAATCGAATTATCCAAGCCGTAGATATCTCTAACAACCATTGAGTAGTCAAGCTCAATGTATGTGCATACGGAATGAGCTATTGTTAATTCATTCGAGTGCAAATTTGAAATAGAATTGAGCTATATTATTCCTCTTTGCTTTCCAAATTTATATATAACTCCTCTATCTAGTTAGTCCATTTGCTTAATTAAAATTGTTCCGTCTTCTTTTCCGCGATCCTTAAGCGGTTTTTTCTTCCTACAGTTGAAAGGAGATTTAATAGTTCTGCTATCTGCAAAATAATATTAGAAATTCAATTAGTCGTACGTAGGAGCGATAAAGTAGTAGTGTATAAGAGCGAGCATTATAAGTAAATTACCACTTCGGGTAGTTTTTCATCGGCAATTTGCCATTGCCGAGGGTGTAAAATTTTTTCTCAACAAAGGGAGGTACACGAGTTGTGGTTTAAATGCATTTTTTATCGACAGATTTACTAATCGACATGTTGGGAGTGCTGGCAAGCTACAGCATCACTGTCAAAGAGTTGAAGCTTTTGTTCGGTGCGATGAAAGCAGTCAAAGGAAAATGGGTAAGCATTGTACGAAAATGTGTGTGTGCCTGTATGTGTGTTCTATGGATTGGCGCGCTACAAAGTTCAAAGCCAAAAGCTTCCTACTACAGCAGCTTTTGGCTGGCACGGCCAGCGTCTTTGTAAAATCAATTTTCGATTTTTTATAGCCTCGTCATTCTGCGAAGCTGTTGAACGTACTTCGGCAAATGCCGCAACGCAACGGCCCTGACGTTTTTTTCAGCTTTCCCGGACGGAAAGGATCGGTAAGTTTGACCTCATATTCATTATTTTTTCTGTTTTTTTGTCTCGTTTTTTTCAATTTTTTTTTGCAATTTTGCAATTTCAAAGGAATGCCTTTCAATTACAACTTCTTCTAAATCCATACGAACCCGCGCGCGCGCGCGTACGTATGCTGCGGAGTTTCGATTGCACGTTGCTTTTGAACGAGATTAATTTTTAATATCAGTTTGGAGTTCGATTTTTCGAACGTAAAATAAATTTGGTAAAAAATATCCCGGGGGATTATATGCAGAGATATTATTTATACGTCGAACAATTGACTTAAGCTCGAAAAGTTATTTGTTTTGCTTTTATTTTAATACATATAACTGGTTTTGTCAACATGCATCGCTCGACGCAGTATCTGTATAAATATGGGTCAAAATAATACTTTTTTACAAAACCGTGCGCACGTATGTCACCGATCTTGACGCGCTTTTGGTATGTTATAGTACATGGTAAAAAGGTCCCAAAAAAAAATTTTTAGACCCCCTCCCCCCTCCTACCCCCCACTTCCGGTATAAAC